ACATACAAACCTTGTCATTAGCTTTTGGGGTTGTTTGGCGTATGGACACCCGGGTGTGTGAACCCATGATACTGAATGTTTAGTATGTTTTGGATTGTAGTAGTAGCCTGGTAGTCACTCTATTGAGGGTGGCTACGACGGTAGTATCCCCTAGTATGCATAGGATGTTAACTCTATGATGTGAATATGTAATATTAAGTTCTCAATCTTTTAGCTTAAATGCGTAGTTTAATCTAGGCTGAAATGTTAGAATTTTGGGGGTGTTACACTCAGCCTGGGAGTATGAAGAGTAGTAGGGAGAAAAAATAACTAAATTCAGGAGGGCACTTGTCAGTTCAGGAGGAAGCGCATCTCTCGTAAACGACCACAACGCAAACACCTGAGAAACCAGGCCACCAAGCGGGTATGCCCCTAGTCAGGGTTTCTGGCTGGCTCAGGTGGGCGATCAGGCTCAGGTGGACAACTAGGCTCAGTAGTCGGTGTGTCCCTGACCAAGCCCTCAGATGGGCTCGGCTGGGCGACCAGGCTCGATAGTTGGAGTGTCCCTATCTGGGTGTCTTAGCCTCCCTAACCGGGCTACCAAGCCAGGCAGTCGGTGTGTCCCCGACCGAGTGCGCGCCCTAGAGGCGGTTAACGGCAGATTCTGCGGAGATTCCTTTCTTTGTTCAACAAGTAGTTTCCTTTCTTAGTTTTAGGCAGTTACTGCATTAATTATGGTAGATTCCTAAGCTAATTTAGTTATTTTTTCTCCCTTACCCCGGGGGTCTCCATGTAAAGGGTCAGATTCTTGAAGAACATTCCGTTACTTTGCCTCTTTTTCGGCATCAATTACTTTCTCTTGTTAACCTAATATTTTACGGAAGTGTTGACCCGCCGATCGACTGCCCTAAGCCGTAAAACCAACACATATAATGTTGGAGTGTGCAATGTAATAGAGAGATGTAAGCAATCACCCATCATCTTAAACTAAAATGTGCTAAAGGATTTTGGTTCGTAGTGATTGAAAGTGACCCGGGGTTGGTTGTCAAATGGTTAAATGGAGGATACATACCCCGAGGACCCATAATGAACTTGATGGGAGATGTTTAAATGAGAGTTGGACCGAGAATGTGATGTCTGGGTAGTTTATGTTTTTAGAGAATATAATATGACAATTAATTGGGTGGCAAGTTCTTCTCTTCACCATGTTTAGAATGTGCTACTTTTGGATTATCCTCCTTCATTGTTTCAACAAATTCTTGTTAAGGATTGCACTAGCATCTCCATGTTAGGAGAGTGCCAAATTTGAGAAGTAATTATTTTGTTTTGTCTCAAGATCCCTTCTCATTTAAGAAAAAATTCATTAAGTATCATATATATATATATATATATATATATATATATATATATATATATATATATATATATATATATATATATATATATATATAGAAGAGCGCTCATATGCGGCGGGGTCTTACGGTGCGGCGGTGCGGTCAAATTCCAGAATACACCAACAGTGTTAACAATATGCACCAACAGTGTAATAAAAACACACCCCAATGAAATGTAATAAAACATCACAAAATACACCACAGACTCAAAAAAACACACCATATAACTCACCACCCCCAATGGTGTATTTTCGAACAGTGTATGGTGTTTTTACTCACACCTAATGGTGTGTGTTTGGTGATGCAGGGCTCTGTTTACTCTGTTTTGTGTGGTGTATTTCCTAACGTTGATGGTGCATATTTGGTGAACTATTGGTGTTGCCGCACCGTAAGAAATAACCGCACCGTAAGACACTGCCGCACCTGAACCCGCCTCTATATATATATATATATATATATATATATATATATATATATATATATATATATATATATATATATATATATATATATATATATATATATATATTTCTTTTTTTTTCTTTATAAGATTTTTAAAATTTCATATCAACTAAACAATGAAATATATGCATTCAAAAAAAAAAAAAAACAATGAAATATATATTTTCTACAAGGGAAAAATGATTTTTTTTTTCTTTATAAAATTTTTAAAATTTCATATCAACTAAAGGGAAGATGGCACTTTTCCCCCCTGTGTTGTTTACATATAGCATATTTCCCCCCTGTGTTGTTTATGTAACCACTTTATTCCCCTTAATTATTTTTGAAGTGGCTATTTTCCCCCCTCTCCGTTAAATAAGTGTTAGGGCTGTTAAATATGAGGGTAAAAATGGCATTTCAATTATTATTATTATTATTATTATTATTATTATTATTATTATTATTATTATTATTATTATTATTATTATTATTATTATTATTATTATTATTATTATTATTATTATTATTATTATTATTATTATTATTATTATTATTATTATTATTATTATTATTATTATTATTATTATTATGTGCTTAAATCATATTTTGTTTTTTTATGATACTGCTTATTTTCTCTGTCTCATCTTACTTATCTTATTTATAATTTATTAATTAATTTAACTCTTTTTTAGTTACTTCGTTAATTTTTTAAATTGTTAAATTAATTTATTTTTTTGTGTTTAATAATATTTTTAATAAATTAAAAATAAAAAAAAGTTAAATTATACGGAGTATTAATTTAAAGAAATATTAACATAGTTTATTATATTTTAATAAAATAATAATAATAATAATAATAATAATAATAATAATAATAATAATAATAATAATAATAATAATAATAAGTGAAATGTCATTTTTACCCTCATATTTAACAGTCCTAACACTTATTAGGACTTATTTAACGGAGAGGGGGGAAAATAGCCACTTCAAAAACAATTGAGGGGATAAAGTGGTTACATAAACAACACAGGGGGGAAATATGCTATATGTAAACAACACAGGGGGAAAAAGGGCCATTTTCCCTCAACTAAACAATGAAATATATATTTTCTATAAGGGAAAAATGACACTTTAAGTACTTAAACCATATAAAAAAGTAATGTTTGTTATTAAATTATACACGTTATCGCATTTTATTTAGAGTTAATTCCAGCAATGGTCCTCCGACTATATTGATTTTCTAAAATTAGTCCTTGACTTTTAATTTGGACACTAAAGGTCCCTTGACTTTCAATTTCTTTCCAATTGAGGTCCTTTCGTTAGAATACGGTTAATTGAATTTTAAATGAAGGGGTAAACTCATCATTTCACCTGCCTGTGTATTATTCTTAGTATTTCTCCATTGTATACGCGATATATATGAAGATAATCTTAGTCGAAACTCTAAAATGTTCCTCGTCGTTCCCCATTTGCTGACTACTCGTGTGTGCGTTCCTCTATTATTGAGATGTTTACAAGGTATAACAGCGAAATACGAAGGGAGAAATACGAAGAATAATACATAGGCAGGTGAAAGGACGAGTTTACCCCTTTATTTAAAGTCTAATGAACCGTATTCTAACGAAAGGACCTCAATTGGAAAGAAATTGAAAGTCAAGGGACCTAAAGTGTCAAAATTAAAAGTCGGAGACTAATTTTGGAAAATCACTATAGTCGGAGGACCATTGCTGGAATTAACTCTTTTATTTATCTATTGTCTATGAAGTTACCTTTTTGTTCATAAATTCTATTAAGGGTGCGTCTGGAAATCCGGAAAATGATTTATGGAAATCATTTTCGGGTTTCCAGTGTTTGGCTAGAGGGGGAAATGGAAGTCAATGAAAAATAGGAGTGTGGTCAATGAAAAATAGAGGGGATTTTATGGAAAATGACTTCCCCTTTCTTGGGGGAAGTCATTTTTCGTTTGCAGTAGTGGAGCGCCAATCACACGCCGCCGCCGCCGCCACCACCACCACCACCACCACCCACCAGCTCCCACCACCACTATCATTGTATGTTTTAAATATTTAAAATTAAAAATAATTATGCTCATTTTTCATAAAAATGAACCAAACACACCAAAACAGTTTTCTAGAATGCAACCAAACACTACAACAACACGTTTGGTTCACAAAATGAATTTTGAGGTAATAGGAATGCTATTCCATAAGGAATGGAATAGGCAAGGAATAGAATAAGAATTGTATTCTATTGTTTGGTTCGCAGAAGGAATAGACTTTAAGAATTATATTACAGTGTTTGGTTGATTTAAGGAATAGAAATGAAATATGTTTTAAAAGACATAAATACCCTTATAAAAATATGGGATGGTGGTGGCGGCAGCAGTGGTGGTGGTGGTGGCGGCGGAGGCGGCAGCGGTGGCGGTGGTGGTGCTGGTGGTGCGGCGGCGGCTGTGGTGGTGGTGATGTTGGTGGCGGTGGTGCTGGTGGTGGTGGCGGCAGTGGCGACGATGGTGGTGGCTAAATAAGAAATAAATTTAATTGGGGGGTAAAATAGGAAATAGAAACTTTAGGCTATTCCTAAGAACTCAGGAATAGCCTAATACCAGGGGGCTCTCTATTCCCCTTGCAAGGAGAATAGGTCATTCCCGGGAACAATGTTCCTGGAAATACAAGTGGTTACCAAACAGAGGAATATGCCTATTACTGGGAATGATATGTCATTCCAGGCCTATTCCGTGAACCAAACAGCCCATAAAAGAAAATATTTTTTAAAAAATGACTCATTTTTCCAGAAGTCATTTTCCTGCATTTTAAATACACCCTAAGATTGAATTAAAAAAATCACTTCTAGAGTTACACAATTTACTTTACAAAAATATTATCATTATTTTTTATATTTAAAGACAAAAAGTATAATGTGTTCATAATTTAGGGACCAAAAACAAAAGTCATTTTCACTTTCCTTTTCTTCATTTCCAGGAAATTTACATCCCTTTCTTCGTGTATATATTTCTGCAGACCAAAATGGGTGTAAATATTTCCCTTCTCAAATTTATTTTGGTAACCCATCAAAACTCGACCGGAGAAGGGCGCAGACATTTCGCGTTTCGAGGAACAGTGTGACGGCCAGAAAGCCACAATCGGATCTTCTTCCCGCTACTGTTGTCGATTTCAGGTATATCCGCCACCCAAAAACCCTTCCGTCCCGTTATCTTCTGTACAATGATTATATGTATGTTTGCGTATGCCTGTTAATAGTGCGTATAGAGCTTCCGATAGTCTTCTCATTTCTTCGTATCGATAGAGTCGCATACACGTATGTATTTAGGTAAAGTTGTTGGGAATGTTCTCCTATTTTGTTAAAAATTAAAAATTACAGTCTTCTTAGTAGTTGATTGGATTTTCTGAAACCTGCTTCTAATTAGTAGTTGACTATCTGTTTCCTTGTTTTTCCTTTACTTTGATTTGGAATACAGTGCCCACCTCTTTTAACTTGAGAAAATTGTAGGAAAGCTTTTATACAGAAAGTTACATATGTATCAATGGGTTGATATCTTTTGGAATGATTTTTATTAGATTTGGTAAAAAAATAATATCTTATTTTTACTTGCTGGCTGTTTAGTCATTGGGTGACTAGAAATGCTTGATTTTGTTATTTGCTAATCAAAGTTTGTTTTGGTTGGTTGGGAAAATTATATGAATGCTATGCTACTGTTGATATGAGTTCTGTTCATTATATTTGAATATTATAGGGACAATTGTGTCCTTTTCAAGCTGCTGAGCTTCAAAGCTTTTTCTGCTTTGTTTGGGAAATAATATGCAATGTTGATGAATGCTATGACGATCCCTATGGAGTTTATTATTCTTGAAAAGTACGGGGATGATTGAATCCTGTTTAGGCTATTGAGCTTCAAGGGATGAAGTTAGGCTTCATGTCATTTTATTTTGTCAAGGAGGAAGGCAGTGGCTAGAAAGTTGATGTGGCTGAGGTAGCTCTTTTTTGTTAGTCTGGAATCTGGATAGTAAATGAATTAGTCAACTTCTTTCAGTGATGAGGACTGTATGGAGTTAGATGGAACTTAACCTGAACAAGTCTGCTTTCTTTGTTTAGTGCAATATATGTAAGCTGTGGCCTGGGCACTAGTGGTGTGTTCTGATTATAAAATGCACATAGGATGCATATATAAGAAAGCTGGCTATAAATACTCCTCAATATGACTGGACTAACCTTTTTTTTTTATTTTCTTTAATTTTTTTTTTAAGATGTCGCTGCACCTTGGTAATATATCACCTCACATTCGTAGAGATGAATTGGAGAGTGTTTTCCAGAGGTTTGGGCGGTGTACTGTACGTCTGAAAGACAAATTTGGATTCGTTGTTTATGATTACCCTGCAAATGCAGAAAAAGCACTGAAAATACTTCGAGGCAAGGCTATCTGCGGAGAGCCGATAACTCTTTCATGGTCAAATAGGCAGCCTCAGCCAAAGCCTCTCCAGAGATTTACTAAGGGTGCTAGGGTCTTTCAGCCACCACGAGGGAAACACTTTGGTAGACATGATTATGTTTCTCGAGATATGGGTTACAATGGTCAACGAGGTCATAAAAGGGGCTTTAGGTCGGCAGAAATCAATGGTGGAAGGACTGGGTATGCTGACCGAGTTGACGAACTTACAAGCCATCATGGCTATGTAGAAGATCATTCTTTTGTGGATGATTTTCCTGATGACAGTGGAGGGAGAGAGGCAACAGTTTTGCAAAATGGTAGGTGGGAGGAGCAGGGTCTTGAACCCTTGGATCAGAATGGCCTAGAAAATGGGCCACACTTTGACCGGTATGTACCTTCCTCTGCTGATGAGATAAATGAACACGATCATCTGACCTGCATGGAAGATTTGCCCTCTCGTAGGAGGCCAGAAGAGAAAACAGAAAAAGAACACTCTAACACTGGTGGGAATACATTACCTTCAAGGCCGCAAATAGATGTCAAGGAAGAAGAAAGATTAAGAAATAGCCACAGGTCAAGACACAGAGATTCTTCATTTGAAAGAACTACACATCAAAGTGGGAGAAAGGACTATAGGGAAAAAAAGCGAAGGAGGGATAACCCTGAAAGCACAAGAAATTATTCAAAGAAAGCCAGGGCACCAGTCACAAATTCAACTTCTTCTGATCATACATCTTCTGAATCACATTTGCATTCAAGGTCGTTAAAGTCTTTGTCCATGTATCCTTCAAATTCAATGCCAAAATCGTCTCCTGCCAGAAAAAATTCTCGATACTCTAGTATAAGGTCTGGCTCAACATCACATTCAAAGTCAAGCTCTCCTACATCTCAGCCTATATCAGTCTCACCAGATCAATCCTTATCTTCATCTTCAAATAAGATGGAGATAGAGCAGAAGGATTTGCATCAGGAGTCAAAGGTAGATATTTTGGAAGGGGACCCAGTGGCAAAAAATGAGGCTAGTTCAGACTACTCATTTAAAGAAGTGAAAGATTCACTTGCCCCAGAATCCTACATTGGTGATCCCACTGTGTTTCCGCACACTTTGGGAGTGATTGGGGAATTTCAAAATAATAATGATTTAACAGTGCAACATGCAAAGTCTCAAAGCCAGAACCCAGATGTCAATATTTCTGAGCGATCCCTTGCTGCCAATTTGATGAAACTATCCTCAGAGGAACTATGCATGGTTCTAAAACACTACAGACTGGAACAGCCGGAGGAAATTGATAAAGACTTACCTATAGAAGATTGCTTGGGCTGTGCTCGGTTTTGGCCTTGGGAAATCATCTATTATAGAAGGTACAAGAAGGGGCATATCTCAACTGAAAACTACACCCGTAGGCTTGCACAAAATAAAGAGTTTGGAATTGTTGACAAGTATGTCCGAAGCAGTAGTGGATGGGGTGAAGTGTGAAGAGATGTGTTTTGATGTACATGTGCACCAACATGCCATGGCATAGATAACTCTAGTACCCCTTTACTCGTCATGTTATCTCTGTAGCTATTTGCATATCAAGATACTTCAGTTACAAACTGTTGTGGTATCAAACTATCAAACCTTGTATAAATTCTAAAGTAGTTTAGTAGTTATCCTTTTTTCTATTCCCAATGAGCAAAAGAAAATTAGTCTGTTTAACAGAACCCCACTATCTGTGTCTGTCTTCTTTTCCAGCCATCCAATTCTGATGGAGATTGCATGATGTGAGATCATGGTTTTACTAACTTATTTTTGCTGACAAATAAACTGCATCCTTCAATATATATATATATATATATATATATATATATATATATATATATATATCATTATCCCTTTAGAGCACTTGACAATTGAACCTTGTTATTTCATGCTATGGAATCATTCTTCAGAGTCAATGGGTATAGGAAATTGTTAAATACCATGCCACAAGTATCTGCTTATGCATTGACATAGATTTGAGATTTTGGTTTTGTAATCTTAGCCTGTCACTATCATTTACAGATACAAACATTGGAGTGGACTTTTGGCAGGACAATATGCATTTTACTCTGTAAAGAATGCTTCTTTGAGGACAACCTTTTTAGCTGGCTGGCCTGAACTTTTCTTATGCTTTTATCAATTTGTATCACTTGAGGGCCAAAATTTTTACTTATTGGCCCAGTCCAGAAATACCACAATGTTGACAGATGAAAATTCTCAGATTTACAAATGTTGAAAGGAGTGTCTGGTACATGGGGCAGTTTTGAATCTTTCCCATATATAGTAAGATTGAGTTATTACGTCTGTTTCCTTGCTTCATGAAGGTGTATATTGTGCTTCTTGTACATATAATGATTTTGCCCTTTCCCAGTTCTTGACACCGCTTAGTTGCTTGCCTTCTTCTATCCATTCTATCCCCCTCTCTATCTGATTGATGGAATTGGCTTACAAAATTCATTCATTTTTGGTTACTGATTTTGTTCTGCTGGGTAATTGAGGCACCTGTGTTCCTAATTTGCCATTCTCTTTTGTTTTGGCTTATTTTCATTCTTCTTCATAACTTGTTTTCTTTGAAGGACAACTTCAATGCTGTTCTTGGTCCCAATAATCAGCTGGTTCATACAAGGTTTGTCAGCTCATTCTCCCTTTGCGTAAAGTTGATGCCATTGCTTAAAAAGTATTCATGAAAAGAGATTGTCTGGTAGCTTGAGTGTGTGATCCTTGTTGTGGTATACTTGTCTAATTGTCTCTGTAGTTGTTTTCTAAGATTGGATTTGATTTTGTGCAGCGTCATTGTTTTTACAATGTGGTCTCAATTTGAAGTTATGAGGTTTTGAAGCAGAATGCACTAGCCTGCTGATTGCTGAATGTTTATGAGATTTGTGAAGTTTATAATTTTTTTTTAAAAAATGGTTTTCTTACTATAAAATTTAATGTTTTTACCCTATTCTGATGGATCCTGAGATGTTTCTTGGCATACAGTATAGTTAATCACTTTATAAACTGAATCTGTTTTGCTTGGTTTCATTTTCTTTTCCAGAAATAAGCAGTCAACTCCCCTATCCCAATCAGTTATTATATATTGAACTCAGTGTGCACGTATAGATCCAATGTATGAACTATTTTGTTTTGGGTGTATCCAAGTTTCCATTATCAGATGCAGTGACTAATTTTCTCGCTGAATTGTAGGCACATCTTTTGAGTGGGACAGCTGACTTGAAAATTTAAGGCTGTTCCATACCCAAAGGTAATGACCGAACCTTTGACCTTTAATTTAGGATGGATGAGTCTTTTTCACTCAATCACATCCTTGGTTCCAATGTATGAACTATGAAGAACCTTAAATGAGAAGAGATGACAACAGACATTATATGCTGCTGAGTGAAAGAAGAGATTGGTCAATGACTACCAATAACTATTTAAGCATGTGTTGAAGTGATCTGACTGTCATGATGAATGTTTTTGTACAGATTTCAAAGAAAACAAGAAATGAGCCTGATAGGTACCTAGATATCAAAGTTGTCCATCAATTTTCTTTTGAGTTAATATCCAATTTGATCAATCGACTATTAGAATTTTACCATTTTAGTCATTGACCATTGAAATTGCTCAATTTAGTCCATAAATATGTAATTTTTACTTAAAATGGTCTCTCGATTATTAGGATTTTACCACTTTGATCATTGACTACCAAAGTTGTTCAATTTAGTTCTTAATTATGAGATTTTTACTTGAAATGTCCTCGACTATTAGGATTTAATTTGGTCCTTAACTATTAGGATTTCACAATTTTGGTTCTCGACTCTCCAAAAAGGTCCCTAAATCGACACTAGACTTACATTTTAGATAAACATTTGCATAGTTGGGATTAAATTGAATAACTTTTGTAGTTGGAGATCAAAGTAGTGAAATCCTAATAGTTGGGGGATCATTTTAGGAAAAAAATTGTATAGTTAGAGACTAAATTAAACAACTTTGGTAGTTGAGAACCAAATGGTGAAATCCTAATAGTCGAGGGACCACTTTAGGTAAAAATTGCATATTTAGGGACTAAATTGAGTAACTTTGGTAATCGAGGACCAAAGTGGTGAAATTTTAATAGTCGAGCGACCATTTTAGGTAAAAATTATATAGTTAGTGACTAAATTGAGCAACTTTGGTAGTCGATGACCAAAGTGATGAAACCATAATAGTTGATGGACCATTTTAGGTAAAATTGCATAGTTAGGGACTAAATTAAGTAATTTTAGTAATCGAGGACCAAATTGACGAAATCTTAATACTCGAAGGACCAAATTGGGTATTAACTCATTTCTTTTTTAATCTTCCTTGATGCTCCTCGCAGCTCTTTCTAGAGATGTGTTTTCATTTATAGGCAATGTGTTTGATTTAAGGCTTGGAACTTATGTACCTCTGTACAACTTGTATGTCTCTTGACAAAGAAATTAGGGTGTGTTAGGTTCATGGATTTAGTTATCTGGAATGGGATTCAAAGTCACTGTTATTGTTTGGTTGACAGGTTTCTAAAGAACTACTATGAGATTTTATTACCCCTTTGTAACACCCCCGAATTTCAACAACTTTTAAAACCAATTAAAGCTTATGAAATAGGTAAAGTCTAATCATTAAGAATAAGAATAAGCAAAGCAGAAGCTAACTACACAAATCCGGAAGATGTTATGCCACACCTACACAATATTAGATGCACAGGCAAACTCTAACTACTAAGCAGTCTGACAGCAATCGTTATGCCATGGAACCGTGTTCACAATCCATTGTGAACACGGTCCCAACGGTGTTAGTGCACCGTTATTATTATTATTTTTTTTCTCCTTAATCAATCGCTTGACTTTTCTTCTTCATTTTCACATTTCGCGGTTTCACTTTAATTTGAGGTGAGCAATGATTTCGGACATTCATAAATTATGAATCAAAGCCTGCACATTCACTTTGGAACCATGCCTACACATTCCCGTCTGAAACCATGGTTGCTCCTCTGTAGCGCAAGCTTCTTCAACATTCATAAATTATGAATTTTCTGTTATGAAATTATGAATTTTCTGTTATGAGATTATGAATTTACAGTAAATTCATAATCTCATAACAGAAAATTTATAATTTAATAAATGTTTTTCTTTTATGCAATTATGAATTTTCTGTTATGAGATTATGAATTTACAGTACATTCATAATCTCATAACAAAAAATTCATAATCTGACCAAACGCGCGTTAACATCACATTCGCAATTTTTTTTTTTTTTTTTTTTTACGTAAAAACGGCGCCGTTTGGACCCGTGTTCACCATTCATGGTGAACACGTTTTCAGGGCATAATTTACCGTCTGACAGATCAACTACTTAGGCTCACATGCCTCAACAACTATTAAAGAAAGAGATTTAATCTATCTATAGGCCACTAGCGTGCTCTCCAAAGCTACTCAACCTGTAAAAGATAAGGGGATAACACCCAGTCAGCGAATAATGCTGGTAATCCACCAACACGCGTTAAATATCATAATATACATAGATATAATCAAAACCATTTAAAACTGACAATATTACAGTATATATCATTTTAAAGCCGAGAGAGAGGAAACATCAATAGACTCATCAATTACTCACAACAAAGAACAAAGACCAACATACTCAATAAGACAATAGAACCACAAGCAACAAGCTCAACAATAAGGTACAACTTACGACCCACAATGAAGGATTCATAAAAGACATGCTCTTAAGCAATGGAAGACAACATTCACACCACAACGAGTTCCAAGTCCTCATAGGACACAATAACTCCAAGTCATATACCGTAGAGTCAGCACCACGGCTCGATTCATAGTGGATCAGTGTGGAGGCTCCAAATCATCAATCATGTATCACGTAGTCATCGCAACGACCCGGATCACATGCTATAGTGTCATCGCAATGACAAGGAACACAGCCCAATGGAAGCAGAGCTAGCAAATTTAAGTGTATACAACCCCTATTGAGATTCCAAGCTCAACGAGTTAGCTACCATCTCTGGCAACTAGAATGAGTTTCCCATGTTGCCCACAAGTCACAAGTAACCAAACGGCAATCCAGAGCTTTAAACCCACTACCGGATCCGTTCACACATAAGTCCCCACACTGTCCACTTTACAAGCTCAATCATCTCATCACATCAATCCATCATCTCAACAGGAATCAATACACACGGAATCTAGAGATACAACAACACATAGATTCCACACAAAGTGTGTACAACAAGGGATAAGCTCAACAATAGCTTAATTAAGGAATAATCATACACACAGGATCACATCAAGGGATCCAAGCAAGGGGTTTCAATGTAGGACATAAAATGATACTCAACAACAACAATGGACCTCAATCCAATATCAACATGGTTGACAACACGAGTTGCCAATCCTCAACAAGAAGGATCAAACAATACATACTAGCATCAATGACACCAAAACTAGCATGCATATCAAACGGGTAAACCTAAATGGTTCCAACGAACCTTCAAGACTCATATTAGTCCAACGAATCACAAGGTTGGACCCTTAGCACGATTCAAGACACCCAATCCTAACATGGATTCCTAACACATCGTTTTAGACATACGAAACATCAAGAAGACTCATAAAAGCTCAATAATCCAACAACGGAAGGTCAAAATATCAAATACC